GAGTTTAATTAAATGAATCAGAGTATAAGCACAAATTCACAGCAACAAACACAATTCCCCATAGATAATTTTCTTTGGCTTCTCTTCCTGGGATTTCCAGGAAAGTTCCCAGAAGCTGTTTCACAGAATAGAGGGATTTCTCTTTAAAACTTTTTTTAGTGTTATACAAATCTGAGCCCAGAAGAGTTTAATTTTTTGAGAAATAACCATGAATGCTACATGTGTGTGTGCCTCTGTAGTAACAAAATCATCAGAATAAATTGAACTTAAGTTGAATCTCATTTGATTTCTGTGGTTGGTTTTGGAAACATTTGGTAGTTATTTTCCATTGAAATTTTCACATGCTTGGGGCAGCAATATGTTTAAGTGCTTCTCCTGTTATTTCTGCTCTGCAATCTCAATTTTAAACTCACTCTCCGTTTATTTCTTTTTCTATTTGCTCTGTATTATATGTACTTACCTTTCATGTGCCAAAAAGTAATTTTCTGTTTGCTGTTATTGGTGATCTTGGTGTGCATGTATGTGTGTTGAAAAAGTACAATATAGAACCCTCTAAAGAGCATTGCTCTTTGATTTTGAGAAAGAGAGAAGGGATTCTAATTTATATTCATATTGTTGGAGTAAAAATTCTCCATTCAGGAATGTGGTTGGGATTTTTCAAAATGACTTGTAAGGCTTAGATGACTCCATTTATGGGTGGCTAAACTGGGACATTTATAAGAAATAAGTTTTTAGAGAAGAATGTTCAACACGACAGAAATTATAATAAGGAGCTTTGGCCCCCCAAAACCTGCAGAACTCTCAAATGAGTACAACCATTTCTTGGTCTCTCTTGTTCTCTAAGTGTACGATTCTGTATTAGGTGTTAAAATAACTGGATTCCTGCCTCAGTGTATGGTCTGATGACAGCCACCCAAGAGATGAGGCACATGGAATGAGTCAAAAAGGACTGTTTATTATTATTATTATTTCGCTGGTTAACACTAAGAATAGCTAAAGACATGTTTATGAGACCATGTACAGAAAGATGCAAACTTCTTCTGAGTGCATACAAGACCAAGAAGTGAGTCTGAGTCCAAAGCCAAATCACTGGGTCAGCATGCCACTATTTCAGCAGGAAACATTACCTTAAGCACAGTAACAACTGAAGAGACCCACACAACTTTTAATGTGCCAGTTCTGGATTGTTTCTTTCCATCTTGGGTAACTGAGAGAAAGTGGCTCTGAATTTTGATGGCATTTGCAGATATGGACCTGTTTTTGTGAGTATCAAAGGACATGCTTTGAAGTCCCTGGGTCAGTGGAGATGTATCAGTCATCTCTGAGGAAGTTTGTGTCAGAGTCCAAGACTTCTGATGGCCTTTTTTGAGGTTGTTATATGAAATCCATTTATGAAATCCATATATGGATTTCATGTAGAATACAGAGCAAGAAAGAAATCCTTTTTCCAGAGCTTTAATCTGAACTGGGAGGAAGCTTATATGGAAATGTTCATCCAGCCCAACCACTTGCCAAGGCAAGATTATATCCTGCAGGCTATTTTCTAGCATTTGCCAGTCTAGCTATAAAAGCAACAAACAAATAGGATCCATTACTGGGGAGCATCTAAGAGATTGTTCCACTGTTTAAAAGATGTCATGCCAGTATATCGTCTTCTGAAATTCAGTATGTGTTTTTTTCTTCTCTTATTTTAGTTATCCCTCATTATTGGCTATGTTACGAGGCACCAAATGAAAACCTTACACTCTGAAAGTCAGTGTAATTGTTGGTTACTGCTATTCACCTTTGTGTCCTTGAGCTGACCAGCCTGGAGTGTCGCTGGTCTGATGTAAAAGAAGGAGCTTTTTGGCTGCTTGAGAATAACTGTAACCAAGGAACCAATGAAAATGATGGTAGTACAACTCCTCTACCACTCCTCTTGCCCTCTTAGTGTATCTGCCCTGCTCCTTCCCAATAAATTCTCCATGCCGTCAGAGTTTTCTCTGTTCTTCAGATAATGTTTGCCAGCAGCTACAGCTATGTGTGCAAGTAGTGAGGCCTAGTGGTATGGAGTGAGTGAAAATAAAAGCTGAAGAGCCACAGGGTTGGTGCTGTGGGCTCAATATCCTCAATTATGTGCTGTTTTATGTCTTTTTTTTTTTTTTTTTTTTTTTTTTTTTTTTTTATTTTTTAAAAA